TTTTGCTTTGCTTTCTTGTTCTTTTTAAAATCTTCACATTGTTTTGATCCCAAAATGTTTGCATTGTTCTGACCAAAACTAGGAAAAACAATTATGCGGTTAGAGACTCAAAGCCACTCACTTAAATCTCAACTAGATTTATTTGTGAGAACATCTGTTTTCTGATATTTAGACACTTCCTCTTCCATTGCTGTTTCCTATGACTCATGCACAGTTATTTGTTCAGGTTTCATGGAATTTCCCAAGTGTATTTACCTTTGTTTGGTTTTTAAAATGTAAATTATATTGCCCTAATAAATGAGTATGTGTGTCAGGGAGATTGTGACTGGGTCATTGCATGTGGAACGGGAGTTTACAGAAGAGCTTTATTAACCACGAAATTTTTCTAGGAATAGGACATTTCTAATAAGTTCCTAAGAGTGTCCGGAAGGACATGTTTTGGTTCTGAAACATAATTTCTATAATCATCCTTAAAAAATAACTTGTTTCTGCTTAATGGGTTTTACTATGAATATACCTCCATATATTATTGAGTGAGAATGTGAGAAAAAGAGATAATATTAACTTTTCAGATAGAAATATAGTGAGTTAGTATAGATGTAGCAGAAATAACAACACCCTCAATATGAAGATACGCAACAGCCCCACCAAACAAAAACAAACAGCAGTGAGAGATTTTAATTTCCTAAGTTAGAAAAGGGGAAAAAAAGTCTGGAAATTAGATTTGTTGGGTCATGGGAAAAAAGATTTAAAGAAGATGAAAACATACAGTCAGGACTGTTTGCCTCGTTTTTTCCCTACAGGCCTCGCAGGCTGCTCAAGAAGCTGAGATCAACGCCAGAAAAGCCAAAAACTCTGTTACTAGCCTCCTCAACATGATTAATGACCTCTTGGAGCAGCTGGGTATGTAGCTATAGAGTCCTTTTTGTCAGTCTCTGAATCTTTTGTGCTGTTCTTGGGATATGATATAGTACAGTTGACTCAGAAGTAGATGATACAGGTTTACATGAATCCATTTTAAGTCATTCATTAAATTATTAATATTTCCTTTTGCTCTTGCTTGTTTTGAAAGCCTTATAAAATAAATGCTTGTCTTGCATGGTAGGGCCTTTAAGAGCAACTTACTTCTTTACCATACTGATTATTCATCAGCTTATAGTGTGACCTGAATCATGACTTCAGGCTATGTTAATGTGACAAGTACTTACTAGGTGCCTTCTGTGGACATTGCGCTAAATAGAACACTGGCCTGAGGAGTTTCTTTTTAAGTTTTGAAGATATATTGCCAGCTAGGGTAGCATTTATGGTCCAGGATCATTGTACAACTACACAGTGATTCTTCTTAACTCATCTTGCTGGCAGCGTGCTTTAAGGGATTTAAAGTTAAGAATTTCAATAGTAGATTAAAAGAACACTTAGGCTGGGTGTGGTGGCTCACACTGGTAATCCCAATACTTTAAGAAGCCATGGAAGGAAGATAGCTTGAGGTCAGGAGTTTGAGACCAGCCTAGGCAACATAGCAAGATCTAACCTCTCTTCAAAATATTTTAAAAATTACCTGGGTGTGGTGCTACACGCCAGTAGTCGTAGGTACTCGGGAGACTGAAGCAGATGCGTCACTTGAGTTTGAGGTGACAGTGAGCTGTTATCACGCCACTGCACTCCACCCTGGACAACAGAGCAAAACCCTGTCTCAATTAAAAGAAAAAGAACACTTAAAACTGGTCATGACTTTACTGCCTGGAATTCTCTTCATTTGCTAAGTAAGGACAGTCTGATGAGGGGAAAGTTTTCATGCCACAAGAGAGAAAACCCTTGATTTTTCAAGGAAATCTGTGCATGAGGAAACATTTTAATCCAGTTTGATAGGGCGAGAGGGAGCAGGCTTCATTTTAGGACAGATGCATTTTTGTCACCAGACTCCATTACAAAGTGTCAATGCTCTAGCCAAGACTCTCTGTAGCAAGGCATTATATTTTAATTTGCTGGCCTTTAAAGACTGGTGCATTTTGTTCTGGTGGGGGCATTTTTTATCGGTCTCAACTATCAAGAATAATAAGTTATGTGCCAACAGATGGATATAAATGAAAGTAAGCTAGAAGAGAAAGCTTTTTGTGGAATAGCTAGGCTTTTAACATTAGTCTGACTTGGGTTAGTGTCTCTGCTTTGTTGTTTATAGGGTGTGCAAACTTGGGCAAATTATTTAACATCTGCGAATCGCTGATGTAAAATGGTCTTGTGAGACTTTAATCAAGTCAAGTATGCATGAAGTGCTGTCCATTGTGTCTGCTTTTGTTTGTTATGGAAACATTTCATTTCTTTCAAAAGAATCTCTTTTTCTTGCTAAGCTTAAAGTGAAGACCTGTTGAAATTATTTCAGCATTTTACCCTTGGCCATTTTTCATAGGAAGGCTTCTAATAGTGTCTAACTCCTAAAAGCAGAAAGTGACCTTCAAAACTAACCCATCTTCCCTGGAATATCTCTGAGAGCTGAGGGATTAGGGTTCTTAGAGATTTGTATATCTTTGATGGCACTAAAATGACACATAGATTACACATATACCTGGAAAAGATATTAAATGTTATAACCCTCAAAACCACAAGTGAAGCTTAAGGTCTAGAACATAGTAGCTGTGCATTTAGGAAACATTCTGCAAGAACCGTTGTCTCAGAAAAAAAAATCCAACTTGATATTAATTATATGCTCAGACCCATCCCTGCTGGATTATGTCAGCATTTGTACTTGGTTTGCATTGTTTATACCCTTGTGTGACATCAGCAATCTGCAAGTCACATTTGCAGGGCTACCAGTGCAGAGTGGCAGCTGCTGGGCCTAGAGGCTAGTGGAGGTACATGTGAAGAGATCATTCTTACTGAATGTGTCTGTTCTCTTCTGTGTACTTTCTGACCCTCCAGGGCAGCTGGACACAGTAGACCTGAATAAGCTAAATGAGATTGAAGGCACCCTGAACAAAGCCAAAGATGAAATGAAGGTCAGTGATCTTGATAGGAAAGTGTCTGACCTGGAGAATGAAGCCAAGAAGCAGGAAGCTGCCATCATGGACTATAACCGCGATATTGAGGAGATTATGAAGGACATTCGCAATCTGGAAGACATCAGGAAGACCTTACCATCTGGCTGCTTCAACACCCCATCCATTGAAAAGCCCTAGCGTCTCTAGGGCTGGAAGGCAGCATCCCTCTGACGGGGGCAGTTGTGAGGCCACAGAGTGCCTTGACACAAAGATTACATTTTTCAGACCCCTACTCCTCTGCTGCCCTCCACCACTGTCCTTTTGAACCAGGAAAAGTCACAAAGTTGAAAGAGAAGCAAATTAAACATCCTGAATCGGGAACAAAGGGTTTTATCTAATAAAGTCTCTCTTCTACTCACGTTGCTACCTTACCCACACTTTCCCTTCTGATTTGCATGAGGACGTGGCATCCTACGTTACTGTACGGTGGCATAAGCACATCATGTGAGTCCATGTATGCCAGGGCAGAGCAAGTAGCCCTCCCCTGTCTCATCGATACCAGGAGAACCTCCTGTCTCAGTACTCTTGTTTCTATGAAGGAAAAGTTTGGCTACTAATAGTAGCATTGTGATGGCCAGTATATCCACTCTATGGATAAAGAAAATGCATCTGCATCTCCTGCCCCTCTTCTTCTAAGCAAAAGGAAATAAACATCCTGTGCCAAAGGTATTGGTCATTTAGAATGTCAGTAGCCATCCATCAGTGCTTTTAGCTATTTTGAGTATAAGACACTGAGCCATCCACAGGTCAGGATGCAATTATTTATAAAAGTCTCCAAGTGAAAATGGCTGAAGAAGATTTTTCTAGTATATTACTAATTGACTAGGAAGATAAACTTTTTTCAGATCTTTTGGGCAGCTGATAATTTAAATCTGGATGGGCAGCTTGCACTCACCAATAGACCAATAGACATCTTTTGATAAATGGAACTTAGAAGAAATGGGGATATGATAACCACTAAAGTTTTATTTTCAAAATCAAACTAATTACAGCTTTTTTATGAGGTTAGTCTTGGAATTAGTGTTAAGTATTTGGCAGAGAACAGTTAATCCCTAAGGTCTTGACAGAACAAAAGAAAAACAAGCCTCCTTGCCATAGTCTTTTCTAGCAAAGGGATAAAACTTAAATGGCAGCTTGTACTGTCAGAATTCCATGTAGCCATTTGTTCTTCTGTTGGAGAGAGATGAGACATTTGACCCTTAGCTCCAGTTTTCTTCTGATGTTTCCATCTTCCTGAATCCCTCAAAAAACATTGTTTGCCAAATCCTGGTGGCAAATACTTGCCCTCAGTATTTCACACAGCTGCCAATGCTATCGAGTTCCTGCACTTTGTGATTTAAATCCACTCTAAACCTTCCCTCTAAGTGTAGAGGGAAGACCCTTACGTGGAGTTTCCTAGTGGGCTTCTCGACTTTTGATCCTCAGCTCTGTGGTTTTATTTTAAGACCACAGTGTGACAGTTCCCTGCCACACACACCCTTCCTCCTGCCAACCCACCTTTGAGATTCATATATAGCCTTTAACACTATGCAACTTTGTACTTTGCGTAGCAGGGGCGGGGTGGGGGGAAAGAAACTATTATCTGACACACTGGTGCTATTAATTATTTCAAATTTATATTTTTGTGTGAATGTTTTTTGTTTTATGATTATAGAATAAGGAATTTATGTAAATATACTTGGTCCTATTTCTAGAATGGCACTGTCTGTTCACTTCACTCAATTTTTCCTCTTCACTGGCACAATGTATCTGAATACCTCCTTCCCTTCCATCTAGAATTCTTTGGATTGTACTTGTTCCCCACTTTGCTCTCTGCCTTGTGTTTGCAGTATCTCCATTCTCTAAAACTAAGATAATTGCTTTCCTCCACGCCCAGCCACTGTAAAGAGGGTAACTTGGGTCCTCTTCCATTGTAGTCCTGATGATCCTAACCTGCAGCATGATGGTTTTACAACGTGCCAGAGCAGGGACACCAGGTTGACAAGCTATGGTAGGATTAGAAAAGTTTGCTGAAGAGGATCTTTGACACCATAGTGGGACTAGCCAGGAATGAGGGAGAAATGCCCTTTCTGGCAATTGCTGGAGCTGGATGGTTCAATTGTATAAGGGAGTGTATTTTGACTGAGCACTTTCAGGGCATCAGGAACAGTGCTACTGATGGGTAGACTGGGAGAGGTGGTATAACTTAGTTCTTGATGATCCCACTTCCTGTTTCCATCTGCTTGGGATATACCAGAGTTTACAACAAGTGTTTTGACATGCATACTCCAGAGCTTTCACTCTGCTGCTTCTCCCAGGCCTCTTCTACTGTGGTAGGAGATGTGGCGCCCTCTTGCCAAGTTTTCACATCGTTTCGTGGCTAGCTCCTTTCGCTGAGTGGCTATATCCTAACATATGCATTTGGTCAAGGTTGCAGAAAAAGACTGAAGATTGACTGCCAAGCGAGTTTGGAGAAGTTCACTCCAGCAAGTCTCAGGCCACAATGGGGTGGTTTGGTTTGGTTTCCTTTTTAACTTTTATTTGCTTTTCTCCTCCACCTGTGTGGTGTATTTTTTTAAACAGAATTTTATTTTTAAAATAAAAGGTTCATTACAAGATGATACCTTAAATACACTCCTGCAATACAGCCATTATTTTATTGTCTAGCTCCAGTTATCTGTATTTTATGTAACGTCATTGACAGAATGGCTGCTGCAGAACGCTGGGTGACACAGGGATTATTATACTGCTATTTTTCCCTTTGAATTCCAACTGTGGACCTTTTATATGTGCCTTCACTTTAGCTGTTTGCCTTAATCTCTACAGCCTTGCTCTCCAGGGTGGTTAATAAAATGCAACACTTGTCATTTTTTATGTTTTAAGAAAACAGTATTTTATTTATAATAAAATCTGAATATTTGTAACCCTTTATATTTGGTGTGGCCTGAGTGTGATACTGGGGATGTAAGATGTTTTAAAAGGTATAGTGAATGAAAAGCCATACATAATGTCTTCTTTGGGTACTTATTTTCTCAAGAACAATTCAGTATACATACAGTAGATATATATACTTGCCTACTTTTTTGCCTATTTGCCTCTCTCAAATTAGCATACTTAGTGTAGTCTGGAAGTTGGTGAACTTTTCCAGTAAAGAGCTAGATAGTAAATGTTTTAGGTTTTGCAGGCCATGTGCCTATGGGCTGTAGTTACTAGAACCCTGGGGGAGCCTCACTACTCAGTAACAACTGACAGCCAGGCACAGTGCCTCACACCTGTAATCCCAGCACTTTAGGAGGCCAAGTTGGGCAGATTACTTAAGGTTAGGAATTTGAGACCAGCCTGACCAACATGGTAAAACCCTGTTTCTACTAAAAATACAAAAATTAGCTGAGCATTTTTGTAGCACGCGCCTGTAATCCCAGTTACTCAGGAGGCTGAGGCAGAAGAATAGCTTGAACCCTCCAACAAAAGGTGGAGGTTGCAGTGAGATGAGATCATGCCACTGCACTCCAGCTGTGGCAACAGAGCAAGAGTCTGTCTCAAAACAAACAAAAAAAAAAGCAAACTATTTTTAGATTTGTTGGACTTCCTAAATCAGCAAATGTTGTAATAAAAATTAAGTAATGTGCTGCACTAGCAGGCTGGAATCGGGTAATTTTACCCCACTCTTTCTGGAAGATGGACCCATCTGAAGTGACCTGAGACCAGGTGAGGACTTTGGGAGCTACAGAGAACAGCAGGAAGCTTTGGGCCTGCAAAGCCTTCTCTTTACTCTTTGATACTCTATTTATCGCCCTGGGTCCCCGTGGATTCCATGCCACCTTCCTAATCTTAGGAATTGTTGTAACAATGATACCTGTAAAGAAAAACCTGAACTCCTCTCATTAGACTTCCTCTGAGAAAGCTTTAGAGGGCATTAATTACTAGTACTATTATAGCTTCTTACATGCCCTGTTTTTAACTTTAATTGAGGACTGTTTCCTATCATTTGTAGGATCTAATTCAGATGCAGCTGTATCTCCTTTATCGTTACTGTCAGAGTGATGAGTGAGATTTTAAAATTTTGCTCTTATTCCATCAGTCATCTTCAGGACAGCAGTTTCTCAAAAGTTGCTACTAGCAAAATCTGATTCAGAATATCCCCAGAGGTTTACTCCATAAATAAATAAACGTCCTAGCCCCTTAATACACCTGAACTCATCAGCTCCACTTCCATTAAACTCAACATGGAATGCCGGAAGAAGACCCCAGGAACCCAGCAATATGAGGCGGTGGGAAAGCAGCGGATACCTTCATAAGGTAAGGAAGGACAGGCCCGAGGAAAGACCAGATCTCTCCAGGCCTGTAGATTATAGAAACAGAAACAAGGGTGTTATAAATAGCAGGTAATTTTACCTGTTTAAATGTAAACCTGCTTAGTGTAGAGTAAAAAATAAGCTTTTTAAGTTTTCTGTTCAAGGCTCCACTGGTTCTAGGGAACTATGATAACTATAGTGCTTGTATTTGTATTGAGTCTCCTAAAATGATTATATTTGTTCTACACTCGTGAATGAATTCTAAATAATAGAAATCAAACGCATACACAAGAAACAATCATTTTTCTTTAAATCCATTGAAAAGCAAAAAGCCTCTGACTAGGAATTCAAATATTAGAAACATCAACATTTGAAAAATTACCACACCTCCATGTCCTTAACTCCTCTCTCGGCCTTGAATGTCCTTTCTTTCCTCTACCCAGTACAGGAAAGCCTAATGTCAAGGTGTCACCTCTTGTGTTGGAATTGTGCAGTCCTTCTTGTGTCCACCACTTCCAGCTTTGCTCTGTCTTCTAGAATGGCCTGTGGACTCTATAGTTCAGGCGTCTCATCTTTCCCTCCCACTTTGTTCCCACCCCCAAAGATCAGGGTCTGTGTTATTTGTGTTATCCTCAGGGCTAGGATGCATACAGTAGGTACTCAGGTTGTATGATAGTGAGAAGGTAGCCTTCTCCACCTGCACTCCCATACCTGTTACTTTTTATCTGCTGTGCCCAGAGAGGGAGTCTTATGGCAGTTTGTTAATGCACTCTCTCAGCTCCCAACAGCGTTCTGCTTTCTCAGCATCCCCACCTAAGCACAGGTTGGCCTCTTGTTTGCAGGAAGATAAGCAAAGCCACAGTCTTGCATTATATGGCACAGCACACACCACATACACTGCCATGTGGTCAGCAACTAGCTAGTACAATCTGGTCTGCAAGGCCCACTGCCCTGGCTCCCAGCCTCAGACTCACCAAAGCAGGTTTTCCACACAGCAGGTTTTCCCACACAGCTCCTGCAGCCCAGCATTAATTTCCTTGTTCTCTAATTCCTGGAAATGGTCCCAGTAAAGTTCAATCAACCAATTAATTTGGTATTTTATCCTGTTTGCATGTGTACTTTAGCAGGCCTTGTAATTAATATTGGCCATAAAGTGTATTATTTATGATTAACTCAGTATAGTTTATTTCTATAAAAAGTCAAGCATCAAGCCCTTGATCAAGAATGTGACCTTCTATTACACTGTTGTTCCCATAAGTCAGTCCAACTCAATTTAAGTGATTCTCCATGAAACGTGCCTGGTTTGAGGCAACCCTTCCATCTTCCCATAATTCTTTCCACCTTGGCTACTAACAAAAGAAATCACCTGAACTTCAGACCGATGCTTTTCAGGCCCACCCCATGGTATCTGTCCTAATACAGAGATCCTTTGGCATTTCAGTAACTAAATGCAACCATCAAATTTTTTTCCATGTTAATTTTGTTTATGTTAAGAATTCCTAATGCACTTCCTTTCTGAATATTCAGTGTCTGTCTTCTAGGATATTGTATCCTAATTTTCCCTACACTTTTTTGTTGATCCCAGCCACTTTTTCCACGGACATTTCTTTCCTTCCTGACCATGGTCTCTGTATTGGGGTTAGTGCAGAGTAAGCACAAATCAGCCATGAGCAGAAGTGTCTGGGAGATGTGCTGTCCTAGGGTGGATTATAAGTTTCTGGGTTGCTGAGCCAGCATCCAAAATAAAGGCTCAGGAGGCACAGCTATGATTTCAATGATTATATGTTCAGCG